ATATCAATATAACAACAAACTACCTGTTTTTTGCGACTTTCTCTCTTTTTTTTAAATTTACAATCATCCTCGTTAAATATGTACCATTACATTTGCTGCTATTTTAACCGTTCAGTAGTACCAATAAAAAGTATTCAGGTCTTGCTTTTCGTCTATGAAAATGCATAAATCTAAATAAAATATTTTTTTTTTACAATTTCCTTCTCGTGTATAGTTTCCTCCTTAATTATTAAAAAAACAAATAATGCAAAAGTGTTAAATTTACAGTCATGACTCGGATGAGCTTACCACGCACGTTATCGTACTTGTTTATTATTGGTATCCTAAAATATACAGTGGGATATGGTAAGTGCATATATCTGATTTTTCTATAGTGTAAACTTTAATATTTAACGTGTTTGGGAGTGGGGAAAGGTTACAGAACGATTGGAATGAAAAAGAAAAAAAAATGAGTTTAAGTTGTTAATACCTGGTATGTCAGATGTTCGTCAGTTCTTACATGTACTTTGTACCTTTGTCTTCATGCGGAAAGGTCATTATTTTTAACACAGTAGCAAGATAATTAAACAAAACTTCTTCTTTCTCTTAATTATTTTTTTTTCATAAAGCTATACTTTTTTATTATTTACCCATCAATTTCCGTGTTTTTTTTTCATTTTGTTTTTTTTTTTTGTTGTTGTTAATTTACACTGTGGTTTTATGAATCCATTTCATCACTCTGTAGAACTCATGACGTAACATGAAGAAACATGACGTTATTTTTCTTGCGCAGTTAAGAGTTCCTTGACAGTATGCTTCGTTTAATGCCTCATTTTATAATATTGATCTCAAAAATTTTATTTGGCTTTATTTAAAAAGTTATAAAAAGGTATACAGTGAACCTTTCATTAGAACATTAACTTGATCCGAAGAGGCGTATCACGTCTCGTTTACAGGCGTGAATCATCAGATCAAACCTGACGCTTTAACATACATGTTCTTGCGTAAAAAAAAAATCACCTCATAATATAATTTCATGTTAGACCCCATTGGCCATGTTCTCATTTCAGAAAACTTTTTTCGAAGTATGTCATATTATTTTGTTATCAAATTAACAAAACTATTCATCGATATGTCGTTCCATAGGATTATGTTTTTACAAACTTTGTATAGCATCTTCCCCTAGTGGACCCCTTTTTACATTCACAGAAAAATGGTTGTATGAAGAATTAACATTATTTAAGATGTTTGCATATCTACAAGAAAAGAACGAGATTAATTTAATCAAAATTAAAAATAATTATTATTAAATTGAATACAGCCTAAATATAGCAAAAATTGTACAATATACTTAAATCAGTAAACTCAATTTTGAAAGCGAAAGTCTTGATTTGGATGCTTTAAGCAGGATATTAATTCTGTCAAACAACAAATCCCAAAAAGAGGTCCTCAAGATACAGCTATCCGGGTTTCAAGTGCTGGTTTAACTTCCTGATATAAGTTCCTACTTCAGTTAGTTGGAAAACAATCACTCAAGCATGTAAGGTGTTTATGAAAAGGATCTTTGTTCGTGCGGAAACAATATTAAGGAACCATTTCAATGTGCACAATAAAATGAAGACGTATAAAAAAACAATAAAAAAAAATATTGCTATTATTAATTTCCTCGGGTTAATATCATGTAAAGATTGACAGCTGTACTTAAAGTAATATTTCCTATGGAATGCAATGATTTTCAATCATCAACATTGTATCGAAGTGTTTGCATATAATTCAAGTATTCAACACATTACGGTAGTCCAAAAGAGTAATAGAAAACTTTAAAATTGAAATTCTCTTTTGAATAAACAAACACAATATTTCTCTTTCAGGATTTTTTTTCTCCAGAAAAAGATATTTATGTTAAAAATTAGCTACACTGTATACTGCGGATAATTTAAATTTGTTTTCTTAACGCTTTGTTTAAAGTCAGAAATATATTGTTTCTTTGATTTCTTTTCTGTCAATTTGATTCAAATCTACACTCTATGACGTCATCTGTGAACATCAAGTAACTTGGAAATTGATTATTTGTGTAGTATTGGTATTTAGAGATGGAATTTGACTCTAGAAAATGACTAGAAATGTGTAAGCATTTACAAAAATAAAATGTTTGTATATTGTTATGTTGTATCTGTCATTTTGATTAAAATCTCTCCCGTGTGGCGTCACATATGAACATCAAGTAAAATGGGAATCAATCATATGTGAAAAGATAATTTGGCTAAAACGGAATGTACAAAGATACGTTAAATGGAGTTTAAAAAAAAATATCGTGAGTATTATGTGAAATTCATATGGAGTTTAGTAATCAAACAGTTATGCTAATTTATTTTCATCGATTATATTCTCCTTCAAAGAAAGTCAGCTATATACGTATCCCGGTCTGCCTTTCCTCCGTCATTCGTGACAAAAATAATCGGTATCGGTAACAGAACAACAATAAGTTGGATAATTTGTACAGATGGAGAGTTTACCTTCCAAAATACTTGGAAAGTGCAGATAGAATCCCGAGCTAAGCATTGTTTTACAAAATATCTGGGTTCAATGTATCAAATTCAAAACATCGGGTAAGGTTTCGTGCGATTGTGTGAAATAATTATTTCATTGACAGGGCAGTGGGATTCGAGCAGAACTTGTTAGACAAAATAGATGTTTTTCGACTATATTATTCACCCAAAGAAATTATCAAAGTCCGGTATATTGTAGTTCTATTAGCTTTCTTATTAAGGAACATTTCGTTATCAATAGAATTCGAATAGTGCCGTTGTGGTGGTGCACGTCTTCACGTTAGACGCTCTTTTATCTTTAAGCAATAGTTAATAATAGTTTTTCAGCGGACTTGGTTAATTATCAAACTTAATTTTATTTTAAAAGTCTAAATTTTCCAAGAAACGATTTATATGCTTAGTTAACATACCCGCGAAGAGATTTTCAATTGACTCTCTATATTGTTTCTTAAATTATATTATAGAAAACATTGCACTTAAAAAACCTACATGGCAAGCATCAACCTATGGAAAATTTACATCTGACAGGGCTGTAGACGGACTGGCAAAAAACCTGTCTTCTGTTGGATATCAATGTAGCATATCAAATAATTTAGAAACAGAGGCAGAATGGAGGGTTAACCTTGAAAACATTCTCAGCATTCGATACATTTTGATATTCTACAGAACAGAGAATATTCGATGGGGTTCGTATTGATTATTTTGTGCATTGTACATGTAACTTTTAAAAGCCCTTTTCATTCGTATTTGTTCTGTTAAGAACAATTTATGTTATCTGTCTTTCATTTTCAATTATATTATGATAAAAAATAGCAATAAAAAATCATGTATCATTTCATCTGTTAACTTCTATCTCTCATCTTGTCATGTTTTTTTTTCGTTATTTTAGTTTGTGCACGTTCCTGAAATTATTTTTCATTATAACGTATAATTGGCTGTTACTTTTTAAATAAATCTCGATAAAGTATTTTTCTGTTCATGCTGCTTGTAATTTGTGTTAGTTCATCATATTACAAGGCATGTTTCATTAAAATCATTAGCAACTGTTCATTTCCATGACAGTAAACCTGTTTTAAAGATGATAAAACATGAAAGCATTAAAATATCTCAAGAGATTAGGGTAATTAATCTTATAATATGTTTCATTAATATAGAAAACCCATTGGAGATCAAAGAGGCATACACAAGAAAAGAAACTGTTCAAAAGACTTTTATGAATTCAAAACTTCTTTATAATTTTATGGTATGGGAAATAATTTGTATGTAAGAGGAGGTGAAAAAAGTTCATACATTTCAGATTCCAGCAATCCATTCACTGGCAGATTCTTGGGATTCTCTTTGTACATATCTAATACAACCAACAAGAATGAAGGTCATTTGTGCTTTCATGACACAAACTACACAGTGGAAACTATTCCATCGATTGTGAATATAAGCTGTCCTGTCCATGGGAAATATGTTATATATTACAACGATAGACTAGATGAAAGGACTTATCCATCTAATTATTCACAATATGCTTACAGTGAGCTATGTGAAGTAAAAGTGTATGGTAAGTTTCCCAAAAAGACGCTTATGTTCACAAAATAAGACTGTATAATTCAATTCACAGAAAGGCGATTAAACGTTCATTGGAAATGTCTATCACGCAGTAACCTTTTAATTGACTGAAAGGTTAAGTTTCATCCTGTGGTTACATGTACTTGTACAAATATTTTTCCAATTGTTTTTATTTTTAGAAATTTAATGTTATATAAAGCCAGAAAATTTTGTAATCAAGGACTATAAATAAAGTAAATTTTAACTTTTAAAATGATTTTTCGTGAAAGGTTGTCCTGAACCTGGGTACTATGGGGATGCTTGTTCAAAACGTTGTCCTTATCTCAATTGTGGATACTGTCACATAGAAACAGGACAATGCCTCGAATGTAAACCAGGCTATCAAGGAAATCAATGTGCATTAGGTATTAAATTGTATTATCTCCATTTATTTTACTTTTGAAAAACACCTATACATCAGCACATTTGTAGAAACAAATTTCATCCCAGTCCCGCGGGATTAATTTTCATTACTTATACAGTATATAGAAAAGTTGTATATACTATAGGAATATATGGGATAGTAAAAAGTAAATTGTCATTTTTTTTTTTAGACATCTCTTGTGATTATGTGTAATCTTAAAATTTCAAGTGTTCAAAATTGCACATGATATCAGTTTTTGACATTTAATAGAAAAAAAAATATTGTGTCAAAATTAACAAAACCGTCATTTTAATCATCTTTTTGCATAAACATTTTTTTCCACATTACTTACCCAACGCAAAAGAGATATTACCTTTAAAAACAAATTGGTGGCTTTTCAACGCTATATACTGAGCAATTACTGCTATTCTCAGATAAATTCAATAAAATTTAAAAAAAAAGTGCAATATGTTAATCTAGTTTACCTTAATTACTTGTGAAGTGTGTGGACGAGGTTTCTATGGTAAACGTTGCTCTGAGTCGTGCGGAAACTGTAGCTATGGAGAGACCTGTCATCCCATTCATGGATTTTGCACAAACGGGTGTGACGTAGGCGTCTTTGGAGAAAAGTGCAATAAAAGTAAGTTTACTTAAATTCTAAGACTTGAAAAAATTATGCTATTTTTTAAGGATAATGGTTCTTCTCTGCCAACAATCTCTTCTTTATCGATTTTGCAAGCTTAAAAAAAACTTTCAATACACGTTAGTTCTTCAGATTCTCCAATAATTATGTGTTGCGACAAAATTGAATGCATTGTCATAGTGTTTTGTCTTCAAGTACTCTTAAAAAGTTAAAATTGTAATATCTTCCATTTTATGGAATTGAAACGACTATCTTTGTGTGTGATGTAAAAGTAAACATTTACCGTAGAAATTCCCCCCCCCCCCCCGTACTCCTTGGTTCATACAGATTTTAGGAACTCTTTTTTAACTGGTTTTGCTTATAAATAAGGCCGTTACTGTAGCTTACTAGGAAGAACGATCGCTCCCGAAGGTCGTGGGTTTAAAATCCAGCCGGGATTGACCTTTGTCGATAAAAATATTGGTATCAGCTATTCCTTCGCCAAGCAGTCGGTTCTTGAAGAACAGACCTTAAATATAAAAAAAATCAATAATAATTTTAATTTTTTTCAAAGATTTGTCATTGAAGAATTACTACTTTAACATGTTTAGTCACAAAAAAACCATGGTACCTTACCAGGCGTTTTTGTGAGGTACCAGAAGATGGCATTTCTTAGATAATCCTTTAGGAAAGAATACTCAGTTTGCCAAAATCACATTTTCAGTGTTTCCTTTTTTTAAAAGCAATTTAAAACTGTTCTAGAAAACAGAAAGTAATAAGGATTTTGTATACTTTTCGTAAAATATGAAGATGTACAAAAAAGATATTTGAAGAACGTATCGTGTGACCTTAAAGTAAAAGTTGCTGGTCCTTATGTTTATGTTTATGGCACTGAACTTTTTCTACAAATAGAAATGGATGACATAGTGTTAGACTCACTGACGCGTAGACAATGAGAAATTACAATAGAGGATATCTTACCAATGGCTTACATTTGTGTTTATTTACCGAATAATGATAACAGTATGGTCTTCATATAAACAGACTCTTACATACTTATTACACAAACTTTAATCCACAAAGTCGATATTTAACATTTTGTTATTACAGTATGTCCAATGGGATTCCATGGAAGTAACTGTTACCTCTCATGTGGCAACTGTGATACGTGTGATAGGTTTACAGGAAAATGTTTATCCCAATGTTATGCTGGTTGGATGGGATCACTATGCACTCAAGGTCAGAAACATTTAAATTATCAAAAATGCCCTATGAATTGAACATTATAGTTCTTATATATATTGGAAAATAGAGCCTGCATTTTTATACTTATGAAAAAGAACAAATACAGATAAAAAACAACGAAAAAAATGTTTTGTGAAAGAATTAACTTTAATTTTAATTTTTTTTTTCTTTAATTGAATATACAATTTAATATCCTTAAAGTACTAAAAACAAGATACGGTTGACCTTATACCTTTTATAACTGATAAACAGTTTGAAGTTTACATTTAGAATGCAATAGCTTAGCATATGGACTTGAATGTACAAAAAGGTGTGGAAAATGCCTTAATGGAAGGCAATGCCACCATATTAACGGAAGCTGCTTTGATGGATGTGATGCTGGGTTTGTTGGGATACTTTGTAAAACAAGTGAGACATATTCGAAGACTTGAAAGCTAAATTTTATTCTTTAGATTTTTTGTCTTCACTTTTTCTCTAAATAAGATTTCAACAGTATTATCACCAAAGACCCATTAAAAACAACAATCAGTAATCATAATTAACTATTTGTGTAGTACAAACTGTACTACACAAATAGGGTCCCTACCCTTTCAAAACACTAAAACTAAAATTCAGTTTATTATAAAATATAGTGAATTATAATGACCTGTTTTAAATAAAATTGTCAAAGTTATCACTGTAGTAAATCAAAGATTTCCAAATGTACACAATGGTATTATAGTTTCATTAAAGAAATCAAAGTTTTTTAAAGTTATTACAATAGCAGTTTTATCATAGTAATTGTATATTTAAAGTGATCACTATAGTAAATCAATGTTTTTATACTCATCATTTAAGTAAATTAAACTGTCAGAGTTATCACTTAAGTAAATGAAACTGTTATCATTTAAGTAAATCAAAGTTTTCATAGTGTCAGAGTTATCACTATAGTGTATACAATAGTTAACTATATTAAACTATAGACCGTTTCACGGTAACTGCAGTACTGATCTTTTGCAGGGCAAAATGATATAGTTTCGTGAAATATAATTTTAAGTAATGGTTTAATATACATCATTTAATTATCTATCAACAAAAATTTCGATAAACGTCATTATTTTGCTCTGCAAAAGTGTAGTACCGCAGTTACCGTGAAGAGGTTCATTATTAACAAAAGTATATCTTATTAGGGTGTGACGTCACCACAGAGCAATGTGAGAGTGGCTGCCAATCAGAATGGAAAGGAGAAAATTGTAAAGAAGGTAGAGGGCAACACAATGATAAAAAATGCAAAGAGAAAGACATATATTGTAATCCATTTCTTTCTAGAAAGTATATTTAACATCTATTTTCATTATAAGTTTTTACAATAACCCCCAAAAACATGTCCATTCAAAACAGAATTTGAACATGTCTGTTTTACTCGCACATTCCTTTTTCTCTTGTACACGCTTCTGTCTTTCTGTCTAGCTGTTTGTTTTATGCTTTTGTCTGCAAACACATTTGGTATATGGTGAAGCAAACTCTAAATCCTTTCATTGTTACAGTTCCATCGGTGAAAGAAGAAGATAACCAAAAGAGATTTTATGGGATGCTTGCAGCATTATGTTTATCTATGATCGTTATTTTAGCATTGACAATGGTCCAGATTTATCACTGGTAAGATCCTTATTCATAATTTCTTTCCGGGTAAAATATTATGTAAACATTGATATTAATGAACTTTAATTTAATTATAATTTTCTAAAGATAAGCATAATTGGTTATTCGTGTTCCTCAATCAGCAGTGAAGGAAGTTGGTTCCCGTGCAAAAATTTATTGAAAATTCTTTGTCAAGTATTTTTCTTCACACAGCTTTATAAAAAGTCAAAACAAAAATTGAGCGTCAGTGCGCTTATTTTTGCACTACGGAGTAATTAATATAACTTTTTTGCACTAAACGTTCGACATATCAATCAATTTTAAAAGTTTTCTCTTTAATATTTTTATCCAAATGAATAAAACACACAATCTTTTTTGTTCTTAAAGCTATATATGCCGTATTAGTGTTTTATTTTAAAAGTTATTAATATATGTGGTGTCTCATCAAGTTTTATAAGTTATATACTTTCTGCAAATAAGACAATTCCACTCCATCACTTTTAAAAGTTATGAAATATTATTTGGTAAAAGTTATTTTCTCTCCGTGTCGGATAAAAAACCGCCTCTTATTGAAATATTCATGATCACGTTGTCGCGCATGTTTACAGCAAACAATGGTCCAATCTCGTGAATGAACCGAAAAGCATGATGGTCTACTACGTTTTTACTACAAACACGTGAGTTAGGGATTGTCAATTTTGAGAGCACCTCAGAGTTGGTTGCTTTTAGTACCGACGAATAATCACGTGCAATTGTCATTTCAATGGACATTTTTGGTCGGGTGAACTCCTACAGCTGTCAGCGACTATGGATAAAGAAGTGTGGAAACCATGTTGTGCCAAAATGAAATAACCAATACAAACAAATGATATAATTTGAGCAATCAAAATGGTTATTAGATACATTCGATTCTGCATTTCTTAATGGTTCAAAACAACAAAAGTATTCCACAGGATAGCATGTATAAATCTGCGCAATATACCGAATGCCAAAACCAGAATACTACTAAATAATATAATTATATTCTTTACATATGAATCACAATATTTCTGACCCCTTGAAAATAATATAAAGAATCTTGCAAGTAGGTTATCAGCATTGGCTCGGGGTAATTCGAAAGTGAAATTTGGAGTTTGGCGGTAAATTGTAGTGAATGAATAAAATTTAGTAGTGAAAGATATTGGAACATATTTTACTTGTCAGATTTCTTCGAGCTATAGTTGATTTTTATTCTAACTGTTCTATCCCCCCACCCACTTAAAAAAAAAACGATGCTACCTACCTGAATTAATTTTTCTTAATGGTGTTCATCGAAATATTTGGTTGTGCCCTCATACTGGAATAGTTTTTAGAGGCCTTGAATTCCTTGACCAATTTTATGTTATTAGCCCAACTATATTTCTAAGAAGGCAAGATGTATGGAATGTAAGTTTCATCTACATATGTTATGTAGTTCATATTAAAAAAACCAAAAGGGATAATTGACGATATCCCATTCAGGGTGTAAAAATAGCAGTTTAAATTACTTTCCATACATTGTATTTGACATAAAATATCTATTGCGCATAATGCGCTCCATACTGAAGATCCGTAAATGTTCACCCAACCGAAAATGTCCACTAGCAGTGCAGCACGGGGAAACTCTAAACAAACGGACCTGTCCAATGGAGTGGGGAAAACTTTAATTTTCATCATTGTTAATTATTTGTATGCAAATATGAGCATGGGATTAGTAGATAATAATGTACATAATGCATCATATCTTTCTGAGAGCGATTGAAAAAACTAGCCTTTTTGAAAAACACATGTAGTATTTTTTGTAGTAACCCATAAATGCATTTAATGCAACTCATTGAGCTGATTGGTCTATTTGTGTCCTTCACTGAACAGACGTCACACAAAGTATTTTCCTCGACCTGATGATTCTCGCGATGCTTTTCCCGCGCACATGCCCAGATTCAGGATAAACGTCAGTCCTTTATAAATATGCATGAGAATATCGTGTTCTTTTCCTGACCAGTACTTTGTTAATACCTAATAAAATTTCGTCGAATTTGCAAGAATGCTTCATTTTTGGTAGCTTATCATACTCCAGAAATTTTTGTTCGGTTTCAGCTGTGCAAAAATACTGTTTAACACGGCATACATATCTTTAAATAGACACATTAAAAATTGTAACAAAATTATTTCAATTTGTTTTGCATAAAAAATTATTACTGCACTCAAAAAGAGTTCATTTGTTAAAAATTTAAAAAGCAATAAAATCATTGGAAAGTAATTGCATTTTCTACATTTAAGCGGAGTGGTTAAAATTATTTTAATTATTCAGGAAATGAAATGACATTTTGGGTTTTTGATGATAATTTTTAGATATATCTAAAAAAGTGCTAATTTTTTATTAGCTTAAATTGAGCTATTTTGTTAAAAAGACTTTTACGATATATTTGGTGTAATTTGCAAAATTTGATAATATAATTCATGAAAGTGAATTTAAATTATAATTTAGGACCAGATTAGAACATTTTACCGCACAAAATTTCTTGGTGTGCAGGTTGAAGGTAAAGATAGGAATCCAAACTTTACAATACTGTATACTTCAAAGTCCGTCGGATGGGACGTTAAATTGTGCCCCGTGTGAAGGATAACAACCCCCTTGGCACGTAAAAGATCGTTTCTCTGGAGTTCGAAAAAGAGTAGGTTCATTGGGGGCCGCCAGAGAAACCAAAAACTTTCAAAACCGTTCATACAATATTTAAATTTATCCGCCGAAATATGACTGAAATACTGCCGACTCGGCGTTAAAAAACAATAATCAATCAATCATCAAAAGAGGGGAAACTTATTTTTTTTCTGTTCGTAAAACCTTCTGCCAGAAAATATAGTTGCCCACTATTTATTTATTTACTATTTTTTTGGTAAGCGATTTCATCATGGTATTTTAATAGAATATATTGCTTAATAAGGGCTACAGAATCTAAATTTTATAGGAACTAAAATCATTACGTACGTAGAATTTTTTTAATTTAAGTCGACAAAAATCTGCAAAAAGGATGAGGAGCGACCCATGTTAAATAATTAAAACCACAAAAGGAATAAAAAAATATTTGCATTCTATCTGTCGTGTTTTTATTTTATTTATTTATTTATTTTTTTGAAAAAGATACATTTTCCGAATTGAAACTCATTGTCATTCTTTGGGAAAATAAAAATAAAGATAGTCCGGCATATTGAAAAAAATGCAAAATTTTACATTACTGCTTTTCCATTCACAAAAAAAAAATGCCATGTAATTTACAACCTAGTAGAAATTTAAAGCAAAATGAGATGCATTTTTGAAAATTTTATTTTGCTGTTCAAATGTGTTATTGTGATAAATTTATATGTAACTTAAAGCTTTATGATCAATTAGACTAAAGTAAAGGAGAAGAAAGACTTCTATTTACAATCCAATTTACAGTTTATATAAGAAATTGTTATTGTACAGGACGACAATAATGTAGCTTTGATTCAGTCGAAGCTTATAAATAGTTCTTCATTCGCAAATATGAACAAAAAAGTATATTAACATTATTTTTTTTCTGTCATTGAAATAGTTATTTACAATTTTTGCAACAACAAATTCTGACATCAGAGTTGCAGCTCATATTGCTTTAAGCTTACGATATCACTGCTATAGAGAATAAATAATCTGCACTGTTACTGTAAATGTATTTTGTGCTTGCTGCTCTTAGGATTACATATAGATGCATCAAATAAAACATTTTGCTT